TACATAACTTTTATTTTTGCCTAGAATTCTGTTAAGAATATGCTGATTTCGGCTCCGTTTGGCAAGAGCTAAACAGGGCTTTTTTGGCTATTTTAGTCACAAAAGACAAAATAGGCTATTTTAGCCACAAAAAACAAAATATCACATCCAACCCATAATCATTACTTTCTTCTCTCACAAAAAAAATCAAAAAAGCCCTTCCCAAACCAAACTTTTTAGCCCATGCTAAGGCCAAGTTTGGGAAGACTAAATAAGTGCACTTTTTGTCTTTTTGGACTAAAAAGTTGAGGTTGAAAATATGAATGTTTGGGTTAACTTTTTGACTTTTTATGGAAAAATGCTCATGTTCATCGTAATGGAAATGAGGTTGCTCACCGATTTGCAACGATGGCTATCTCCAAAGCTACCCTGTATATTTGGATGGAAGAGGTTCCATTCTCGATGTCTCATTTTGTCCTTCTTAATACAGGATTTGCTGGTTTGTGAGGTTCTTGGTTCTGTTTTGATCCTATCTAAAAAAAAAATCTACTTACCCATGTAGATGACATTTTTTCTTTCAAAATTTTTAGAAGTTTATGCAAGCCCGTGCAATGCAATTACGTAACTTTTATTTTTGCCTAGAATTCTGTTAAGAATATGCTGATTTCAATGCTTTGATTTCAAAATTAAAAACTGACATGTCACTTCAAGATTTAGGGCTTTTTTTTTTTTGGCTCTTTTTAGATCAGAATACATATTTGTTTATACGCATCATTATTAATAAATGAAAGAATACGAGTAGTACTAGTGAAATACAATTTTTCAAATGAAAAATTACAAAATTTTTGTACACACAGATGATTGTCTTGTAATTTATTGACAAAGATCTTAATTAAATCACAAACACAAATTGTCACATCATTCTAGTTATAAATTTTGGAGGATTCTTCTCTCCAGTTTAAAATTTAAATTGGAGGGAATTGTTTGGATTCGTGGGGCTCTCTACGAGCTCCATTTTGATGATCTGATTCGTTCACTTTATCGGACACTTCGTATATTTCATTCACACAAAAAATTAGATCGATCTGATAACTGCAACTTATCCAATTTATTGTTTTTGTCATCAAAAAAATATATAATTCATTTTTAAAAAACACAATTGTCATCTATTTTTTTTAATAAAAAAACAAGGTAAATTAAACAAGTTACATTTATCGAACCGATTTAATTTTTTTTGTGAATGAAATATATGAAGTGCTCAACAAAATAAACAGTTCGGATCATCGATCACAGGCCCCACGAGCCTAAACAGCCTCCTCGACTAGAGTTGGGTGTTCAAGGTTTGAAAGATCAGTATATAAAACATATGAATTCGGGTGTTCAAATTACAAATAATAAATATAATTATTATAACATTATTTAAAAATTAAATGAAAAACTCATATATACCAACGCATGGTGGTTCATACATAATAATTCAAATCACATGTCACATGCTGCTACATAAGTTTGATTCGCATCTGTTGACAAATCGAAGAACTATGGATTTTTCAAATTTTATCTCTGTATGGTGTAGATTAAAAATTAATAAAATATAAGGTAGTGTTTGATAGAGTTTTCTAAATATAATTTGAGAATAAGAGTTGTATTTTGAGATTGTGAGTTTTGAAATTATGATTTAAGTTTGGAAAATTTGTTTGGTGAATGAGTTTTAAAAAGAGTTTTGAATTACGTCCGGAATTTTTGATGTGACAAATGATATTTGATACAAAAATTTACTACTTATAACTAAACACACAACTCAAAATTCTATTCAAAACTCAAAAAAAAAATTAAAAAATTCCGAATTTTTTTTATTTAAAATATAAAAAATAACAGGTGCAAATTGTAAAAAAAAAAAATTATTGCACTGTTCCGGACATCCGGAGGATGACCGGTTAGCCCAAATTTTCCCGCCTTGGGAAGAGTTTTCAAAAGTGGATGTGGAATTAATTTTTGAAAACTTTAACCAAACATCATATGCAAATCAAGAGGTATCTGTTAGGAAGAGTTTTGGAAATGTAATTCTACCTCTTGATTTGCACGTGGTGTTTGGTTACAGTTTTCAAAAATTAATTCTACATCCACTTTTGAAAACTCTTTTCAATGCGTGAAAATTTGGGCTAATCGATCGTCCTCCGGAACAGTGCAATTTTTTTTTTATTTTTTTTTTTTACAATTGGCACATGTTATTTTTTATATTTTAAATAAATAAAAAAATAAAAAAATTTTAAAATTTTTTATGAATTTTGAATAGAATTTTGAGTTATGTGTTTAGTTATGAGTTGTAAATTTTTTTATCAAATATCATATATCACATCAAAAATTCTCCACTCAATTCAAAACTCATTCACCAAACAAATTTTCCACACTCAAATCATAATTTCAAAATTCACAAACTCAAAATACAACTCCTATTTTCAAATCATATTTAGACAACTCTACCGAACACTACCTAAATTTCACTTAAAATAATGAATAATGATTTGTCCCCCTAATTTTCCCCCCCCCCTCTCCATCCCCCGAAAAACAGATGGAGAAGAAAAAGATGGAGAAAGAAGAGGGGAGAAAGAGAGAGGAGAGGAGAGAGGGAAACAGAGAGACAGAGAGGCCCCTCCATTCTGCCCCCTCCATTCCGCCGATCGCCGATCGTCGTCCCAGCTCGTCCGCCTCCGCCGATCGTCGTCCCAGCTCTGCCTTCTTCTCTTCTTCTCTTCTTTCTTTCTTGTTCTTTCTTCGTCTTCTTCTGTATTTCTGATTGAAAAAAAAAAAAAAAATTCAAACGACGAAACGACGTCATTTCGGCAATTAGGGGGATTCGGGGGGCTGAATTCGAGCTCTCTAGCACGGTCCTAAAATGATTATGATTCATAAATATATTATTCTGAGTACTTTTCTTAATAATTTTTTGGAATTAGTAGTATTGTTGTTTAACAAAACAATTGAAAATAGTAAACAACTAACCAAAATAGCTCTCTAGGCACTTTGTTTCCAAATTCTTTTTAATAAGTTTTAAAACAATATTACAAATTCAACAAAAATACATTCATAAAAATATTCAAAAAAATACATTCATGGATCACAGTTATTCTAAATAGAGTCAACATCACACTAATTTTAAATTTACGCCATACAAACCATTTAAAATCTTTTCATGCTCCTTAGCATTTCTTGTGCTTTGTCGTTTCATCTCGTGGAGTAAATTATTTTGTTGGTTCTTCTGCCACAGCTTCAAAATTCAAGTTGGTGTACTCCTTCATCTCCTCCAACAAACAGTCCAAAGTGCAACCCTTCGCCAAAAAGACTCTGAGGTGAAACCAGACTTCCAACATGTGTAACCACTTGGAAGGCATGAGGTGACCCAGCTATACTAATCTTCCTCAAACTTTTGGTTCTGGGATCATAACAAAGCAGACTAGAACTCCCATGCAACAACCAAACCTCCCCAGACCTCCAGTGACCGAGCGGCCGAACATACCCTATATTAAACCCAACCTCACTACAATTCACTTTGAAACACTTGGTCCAAGATGACTTCACACCATACTCATTCATCACCCACATCTCAGCATACTCTCCATAATTGTAGTTTGCAGCTGAGAGACACCCTCTCAACACTCCCAATCTGTAGTTAAGTTGACCTGACTCAAACTCAGGATGTGGAACCACTCCAAACTGTTCTTCACCAACATCAAAAATTCATTGCTAAATGGTTCCTCGTGAGAAAAAAAGAATTTGATCTTCTATTGTAAACCTTTGGGAAGGGATATTTTTGCCTCTATATCAAATAAATATTTTTGTCTCTATTTCAAATAATTTCATCACAATTTTGATATATTTCATTGTAGAAATATATTTTACGAAGATGTGTTATATGTTTTAGCGTCAAATTTGGAGACTCTTAAAATGATCAACATTACTTGGACCATTACCTAAATCCACTGTTTTAATAGACATTTAGACCAAATTGACCTCCAAACCCAATTTTTTAATCCAAAGTACACTGAATCCTCCCCTCCCCTCCAAGCACAAAGGTGCTTTTGCATTATCGTGTTAAAATTTTCTTATTTTGCAATAGTTTTGTTGGTTTTTCAAACAACTTAATGTTTGTTCTAAATGTAGTTGTGAGTTTATTTGTTTGTCTGTCTGCCTGTCTGTCTTTTTTAATTTTATTTTATTTTATTTTTTTTTGGGAGAGGGGGGAGGGAGGCAAGTATAAATCAATTTCGACATTCAAGGGAAAAATCGTCATACCACAAGAAATAAAAATTGAGGTTCTATTTGGAAGAGTTTTGGAAATGTAATTCTACCTCTTGATTTGCACGTGGTGTTTGGTTACAGTTTTCAAAAATTAATTCCACATCCACTTTTGAAAACTCTTTTCAATGCGTGAAAATTTGGGCTAATCAATCGTCTTCAGGAACAGTGCAATTTTTTTATTATTTTTTTTTTACAATTGGCACATGTTATTTTTTATATTTTAAATAAATAAAAAAATCAAAATTTTTAAAAAAAATTTATGAATTTTGAATAGAATTTTGAGTTATGTGTTTAGCTATGAGTTGTAAATTTTTATTTTAATATCATATATCACATCAAAAATTCCTCACTCAATTCAAAACTCATACACCAAACAAATTTTCCACACTCAAATCATAATTTCAAAACTCACAAACTCAAAATAAAACTCCTATTTTCAAATCATATTTAGACAACTCTACCGAACACTACCTAAATTTCACTTAAAATGATTATGATTCATAAATATATTATTCTGAGTACTTTTCTTAATAATTTTTTAGAATGAGTAGTATTGTTGTTTAACAAAACAATTGAAAATGGTAAACAACTAACCAAAATAGCTCTCTAGTCACTTTGTTTCCAAATTCTTTTTAATAAGTTTTAAAAAAATATTACAAATTCAAGAAAAAAAAATCCATAAAAAATACATTCATAAAAATATTCAAAAAAATACATTCATAAAAATATTCAAAAAAATACATTCATGGATCACAGTTATTCTAAATAGAGTCGACATTACACTAATTTTAAATCCACACCATACAAACCATCTTAAATCTATTCATGCTCCTTAGCATTTCCTGTGCTTTGTCGTTTCATCTCGTGGAGTAAATTATTTTGTTGGTTCTTCTGCCACAGCTTCAAAATTCAAGTTGGTGTACTCCTTCATCTCCTCCAACAAACAGTCCAAAGTGCAACCCTTCGCCAAAAAGACTCTGAGGTGAAACCAGACTTCCAACATGTGTAACCACTTGGAAGGCATGAGGTGACCCAGCTATACTAATCTTCCTCAAACTTTTGGTTCTGGGATCATAACAAAGCAGACTAGAACTCCCATGCAACAACCAAACCTCCCCAGACCTCCAGTGACCGAGCGGCCGAACATACCCTATATTAAACCCAACCTCACTACAATTCACTTTGAAACACTTGGTCCAAGATGACTTCACACCATACTCATTCATCACCCACATCTCAGCATACTCTCCATAATTGTAGTTTGCAGCTGAGAGACACCCTCTCAACACTCCCAATCTGTAGTTAAGTTGACCTGACTCAAACTCAGGATGTGGAACCACTCCAAACTGTTCTTCACCAACATCAAACGAAACAATACAATCAAAGCCAGGCATATCACTTAACCAGTGAAGAGCACCATTGACAAATGCTTGCGAAGCTTTTGACCCACGGATGAAAGAGAACGGAGCCTTTCCAATATTCCTCCATGAACAGTCACCGAGAGTGAGCACATGAGCCTCTGGCCTTGAATCACCATTGAAGATTGCACTACTGTAGTAAACTAACTCTATTACCTTGTATACGTTGCTTTCTAGAAGATGTCCGAATCCAATTGCAACGTCGCGAGGAGGAGGAGATGATGATGGCCTTATGGGATTAGGTAAAGTTGCATACTCCCCACTGAAAGGATTGAAAATGTATCTTGGGATTTTGGCCAGTGGATCGAACAAACAAAGTAGACCATTGCAAGAACCTAAGATTTCGAAGTTGTCGAAATGAGGCAAGGTCACGTTTAGGTCAACAAACGTGTAGTGATCTCCATTGTTGCTGTTGTTGTTGTCTATGAAAGATAATCGAGTTTGGAAATGGTTGGGGGCGACAAGGATGTTACTTAAGAAGATGAGACTGAGGCTGTCTTCATTTTTGAATGATTGGTGGAGGTGCATGGTGATGAGTTGAGAATCATGGGTTAAGTTGAGCCAGAATTTGCATAGGCACCTGCAACGCACCAAGGGCTTGATGGGTAGTCTTGAGAGAATGTTGATGATGATCTCTCTTGGAAGTTTGTCCATCTTTAGCTAGTTCTCAGATGGTTCTGAACACAAAAGTCTCTAACTTATGTCGGGATGGAGTCTTGTTTCACCTCCAATAACTAAGGCCTATTTTCACGACTCACTAATTTTAGTCCCAAAAAAATCAACTCCTCTCTATTAGGAGCTTGCTTCACACGTACCACATGATCATGTCACCAATCAACCGATTGTCTTGTTTCTGCAGGGTGCAAAGTGAATTTCAAGAAGATATGTTAAAATACATATTATTAATACAAATAAAATATTAGAGGAACATGTGAATAGTTGGCAGGAATTTATTTAAGCTTTTTTTCTTTTTTTTTTTCAAATTTTATGATGATGATGATGATGGAATGACAATGAAATGTTATGTGAAAATACTTCTTTTTGTTGATCATATAATCGAATATAGCCTATGAGGCCACAAGGGTTGAAATGTTTTGGATTCCTGGGGACCGAAATGTTTTGAGGACCAAAAGGGTTGTTGTACATAAGAAGTCCCGAGGACCAAAATATTGAAATAAGAATTGAAATGCTTTGATGACAAGAGTCATGTTTCTATGGATATATTTTGGGTAATGGTACCGTCACCACCTAAGTCGCAAGGTAACGCGACCCTAAGGCTATGTAGTAGTTTGTATGATGGACATGAGATCTTAATATATTGAAAAGTAGTATTTTTGTTTTGATTTCCTTGTTCAAATGTATTTTTCCGCATTATGATATTCTTTGAAAAATCTTGATAATGGTTTATGCAATTTTTCACTTTCTATTAATTTCAGTCCAATCAAGCTCTTGTGTTTATTATCCTTATTATTGACCACAATTGGAAGTAACAAGTGTTATAACTCCATGGGATTGGTATACTCATTGGGCTCTAGCGCATTCTTTTTAATTTTTTTTCTTCAGATTCCTATATTATAGCGTGGCTCGCCTCAACTTGGAAGATTAAATTTTCTGGAGAATCAAATGTGGGCATTTTGTAGTTGAGGTTTTGCATAGGGTCACTCTAGGATGTAGTTTTATCTTTTATATTTATGAAGGAGGTTGATTGTAAATCTATATTTTTTTTATTATGAAGTTGGATGTAAAGATGGATTCATGATTAGTTTTTTTTTTTTGGGTAAAGATGCATGGGAACTAACTTAGCAGCATGATGATATTTTGTCCTTATGTGGATCAAGTAATATATGATGGCCAATTGAAAGGTTTTATACACTATTGGTGATGTAAATATAGGGATTGTACAGGTGATTATTGTGTACATAGTGTTTGAGATTTGCCCTCTTGGCGGGGCTTGCCTTGCCGAGTTTGGGTCGCGACAACAATGCTATGTAATGTTTATCATTTCAATGCTTGGAAGTTTGTTCATCTTGAGCGCTTAGTTGGTTCTGAACACAAAGTCCCTAACTTCTTCTTAGTTGGATAGTATTGACTTCAAGATGAGTATTGTTCTGGGCCACAGAGGAAGTATATGTACAAAAAGTAAGTCACTTAAACAGAATTTAAAAAATACGTAAAAATGATAAAACATATGTTTTAGTGAAACAATAATGCCATGTAATGTTTATCATTTCAATGCCATAATTCTTTTTAGTTTAGCGTTGATGTACATGAAATGTAGTTATAACTGTAGTATAATATATTTGACAACTCGGGGCTAAATCATTAGACTTAAGCAATCAGACACTACAAATGATTAACCCAACAATTCTACCAAATATTATACTTATGTGAGACATTTAGTCAAATATTTGATAGAATTGTTGGTATCTCTAGCCTAACTCTATTGTTTTATTCTAGCACCTCAAATAATTAAATTGACAATCACTCTGCAATCTTGTAGTTTATAACATTTTGAAGCCCTCGGAAATCTAGCAGTTTACAAATAATACTCGTCATAGATGAAAACAAAAAGGAAGTTACAAAAAACACCTATGAATCTTTCAATAATGCGTAAAATGACCACCAGAACTCTTCCCAAACCCACAAGAAATATTGTCAAAATGAGTTCCTACATAATGTTACTGTCACAACACACACATAGAATAGATTACTTCCCATAATTCAAATGTGTGTTGAAGTATGAGATATATATATATATATACACATTAAACAATATATTGAAAAGGTTTCAAAATAAAAATAAAATAAAACTATTGCTTTTAGTTTGGTTTCACTCTAGTTGTTTGTTAGAAAATGGAAACCAAAGATGGCTAGATATTTAGCTAAAAAAGAATGGGAAAACTACATTCAAGAACAAAGAACCTTCATACTCAACCTAACTAAGCCTTGTCCCAACACAAAGAGCCATATTCAGAAAGCATATGAAGGACAGAAAACAAGAGAAATAAATGGGGAAAAAGCAATACTTCAAACCGAAGCACCAAATAGACCACACCCAGGTATATCTCAGCTTAAATTTGGTATCTTGTGACTAGGATTGTTCTTGTTGGGATATGATCATTTATTCTAAGTAGAGGCGGAGGACTTGATTCTAGGGTTAAATAACACAAATTCTTTTGTTATTTTTTGGGATCAATTGAAAATTTAATTTTTAATCTGGTACTGCTGAAAATAGTATAATGTTTGAAGTTTTCTTATGACTTGAGAGGAGACAGGAAACAAACAGGTTTTCGAACTTCATGCACTAAGAGATTCACACAGTGATACTACTAAAGATAAAGCATCAGCTTCTGGTTTTTTGGTTTTTAAAGCTCCTAGTTTACACTCATGGAAGACTTGCCACGACAAACTCTCAAACTATATAAACTAACATCTGTTTAAATATTGATGTCATCCATCGATCAAAAGAAAACATAAAAGAAAGAGCATCCAATTTTTCTAGAACACTTGAATGCTACAGATAATGCCGATTAATCAATGATAGAGGGAATGCTAGAAATGCATACTGATTAGTTAAAAATAATCAGCAAAAATTAAAGAACAATCAATCAAATCTAATCCAAATTTGAACACAAAAATTAGATGTTGTAATAAAATACCCAAGCATCAATTAATAAACAGTTCTTAAATGAGACATATAATGAGAGAGATGGCAATGGAAACCAAGCAATTGAAAAAATGACTCCAGACAACTGAAAGTCATATCTTGTTTGAATGCTATATGCATAATCTCTATGCATATTTCTCTGTTTTGAATGAACAATTATTTTTTGATTGTGATATTTCATCATATAACAATCTTGCAACCTGTAGGTTATTCATTTATAAATGAGCATTTTTTTGAATCATATGGATTATACCGTGTAGTTTTTGTTTACATTTTGTCTTTTTTCTTTCCATTGGTAAGAATTCAAAGATGACATCTTTTAACCTTTTCATTGGTAAGAATTCTATTTCTAACTCCAACTCTCTCATACAAGACCCATGCTTCAGTTTGTGAAGTGACATCATATCTATTTTTGTATGAGAACTTCAGTCTTTTTCAACTTTAACGTTCACCAGAAGTTTTTATATTTTATCTTTAAAAAGCAATGAAAATGAAAATTGAAAGTTTTAATTTCTAAATGCTTCGTAATCTGACAGATAATTATTCCCACAAGCTATTGAAGGAATATATCTTTACCATATTGGTTCTCATTAGTGAATTGTGACTTTGTGAAGTATTGTCATTTGGTTTAGTGGAACATTTGACTTTATGCCAATACATTCGTGCCACATGACACATGGAGTGATAGAAAAATCTTTCTTCCACATAGGATCACAAAGAAAAGCCCAAAATCACAGAGAAGGAGCAAACCTAGAAGTGAAGAAACAAAGCATATGTCAAAACAGAGAAGCATTTATCAAAACAGATAAACCGAATAATCAGAAGAAGGTTGGAGTGTAATGGTCCCAAAATCATAATCAAGATTGCTGAAATCAAACCTATCATTGAACTCTCTTTCGCCCTGCAGAAACAACAACTTCAAAAGGAAGAGGTGCTAAAGATAACCAGTACTCATGCTTTGACACTGCAATGTCTGCACGAATACCTGAAGAACAAACGACCAGATAAACTGTTAGAAATATTCACTCAATCAAGCTAAAACGAATAAAGACCAAGCAGGAATCAACATGACCTTGTTAAATGTACATGGATAACTTGGAACACCCAAGTGTGAATATCTTTGAAACCCCAAGTATCATAAGCCATGATTCTTTTCATAAATAGGCGGTGGGATTGGATTAACAATCCGGTATCACATGGGACTGTGAATTGCTCAAAGGGGAATAGCAATCCCATGCAATTGAAGGGTAAAATACCATTTTACCCCCACTTCACAAAAATAACAAAGCCACCTTTCATATATTGAATAATTTCATAGAAATTCAAATATTTAATCTCTTACAAAATTATCATTACCTTTTTTCTTTTTTCTTTTTTCTTTTTTTCAATCGAATCCCTCAAAGGGGAATAGCAATCCCATGGAATTGGAGGGCAACATACCATTTTAGCCCCACTTCACAAAAATAACAAAGCTACCTTTCATATATTGAGTAATTTTACATAAATTCATATATTTAATCTCTTACACAACTATCTTTACTTTTTCTTTTTTGGGCAAACTTTACTTTATCCCCCTATGATTTGGACCATGTGTGGATTATTCCTGACGTTCGAATATCACCACATAACCCCCCTATGGTTAATGAAGTAAAGTGCACAGTTAACACCGTTAATGGCAGACGTAAAAAGACTAATTTGCCCTTGTATATATATATATCTAACCTCACTTATCATTTTCACTTCCAACAGCCGTGCATCTGAGAAGAGGAAAGGGGAGAGAACTAGGTTGTACCATTGAACAAAATCACAAAAATCAAAATCAAGTTCATTCAGAGATCATGCCTGTTTATACTGAAATTAAATGGCGTAGGTGGGAAGCGAGTCTTTAAGAGGTTTTACATTGAACACTTGTGACCCAAAAAAAAAAAAAACCCTGGAGATCTAAAAAGTTTTTTTTTTTCTTCTTACTCTCTCTCTCTCTCTCTCTCTAGTCTACCTTATCTGCAAATCTAAAATGTTGAATTGTATTGGGCTGATGATGATGACCACCCTCTCCTTCGTTGATGCTTTTTGTGAGCATCATCATCAACGAAGCACAATAAACATGACAAAGTCACAAGCATTGCAAAAGAACAGCCACATGCATTGCAAAAGAACACCCTTCTAATCTCGTTGTTTGGAGAGAAATCAAAGAAGATTATATATATACATATATATAGCTACATATATATACATTAATTTTTTATAGAAATTATGTTATTTAAATTAATTTAGGTTTTTGTTTTGGGTTTTTGGGAGATTTTGATTTTCAGAAGTACTATAATTTTTATTCATATTTCCAAAATGTTTTCAAAAAGTGTTTGATGATTTTCCATCAAAGTTGTGAAAGAAAGATATATACGCCAGGCTTTGTCTACAAAATTCCTTCGATGAAGGCACAAAGGTTTGACTTTCTGGAAAATTTCACCTGTTTGTTTGCATGAAGGCACAAAGGTTTGACTTTCTTTTTAGTTTTTATTTTTTTCCTTTCTGGGAAATTGGGAAATTGAAAATGGTAAAAGAGAAGATGTGTTTGGTTTTCTTTTTGGGTACGAAAACTGCAAAAAATTGATGCTAGCTTCGAAAATTAAAATCAAACAGGTGAGGATTTGAAATCGTTATTGATTTTTGTTGCTTCTGTGGGTATTTTGAATATATACATATATATAGCTACAGATTATATATATATACATATATATACATTAATTTTTTATAGAAATTATGTTGTTTAAATTAATTTGAGTTTTTGTTTTGGATTGTGATTTTAGAGAGAGAATGAGGAAGCCCGTGGCATGCCTTTGCAAATTTAAGGATGTTCTAGGGGTATTTTGGTCTTAAAATGTAACTTACTCTCTGTATGGGCATTTGAACTACACAGCCCATTAACTTGGATGGAAAAGTGAACGGTGCGTTTTAATCCACCAACCACAAAGGGGTTACGTGGTGATATTCGAATGTCAATGGGATAATCCGCACATGGCTCAAACTATAAAGGGTAAAGTGAAGTTTGCCCATAATAATATACACAATTTACATACTAATGAAAAACTCTCCTCCTCCTCTGATAACAGGATCCAGAACAGTAGCCCATCCACCAAATATCCCTCTATCTCGAAGGATCTTCAAGAACAGGAAAAATTGCCTGAGTTAGAAGTCTTGAACGACACAACTACTTCTCCGAGTGATTATTTGTAGATGTTCATTAGAATTTTCCATAAGTGATATACAAATAGGGTTGTACATCAACTAACAAACATAAGTAGTAGATTGTTTAAATTTGTCATACAACCTTAATACCTAGTTTTTTATCGAGCCGAGCTTGAGCTCAATAAACGAGCTCGATAAGTAAACGAGCCGAGCTCAAACTCAGCAAAGCTCGGCTCGACTCGGTTCGTTTGCAGCCCTATGCACAACCTGGTAGAATGAATGGAAAAGCTAATTGTGCACTTCACTCCATTAACCACAAAAGGATTATGTGGTGATATTCGAACATTAAGAGGTAATCTATATATGGCTCAAACCATAGAGAGATAAAATGAAATTTGCCTTTTTTTTTTTTTTTTGGTCAATTGATAAAAGTACAACTACAAATACGAATACATCAGACAAACCACGGGCCACGCAATAGCTAGAAAGCCAAACACTAGCTCAACAATAACTACCAAACCAACCAAGCCCAATCCCAAGCCCAACAACCATCACTAAATCACTAAATACGTACAACCCATTTTAGAAATAGAAAATACTTTTTTTTCAATTTTCAATTTTTTTTTTTTTTAAAAAAAAGTTTCTCAAAAATGGGTTTAAAAACCGAAAGGAAGTTCAGCATCCATTTCCCAAACTGTTAAAATACAAAAATCATTGTTTTGTTCTTCTTTTTTTTTTTTTTATACGATCTATATGAGACTACCGTGGCATTGAAGTGTTTTGAGAAGTTGGTTAACAGTTAATTTTTTGATTTTCTTTTAATATTTTTGTCTTGTAAATAAAAAATGTGAAAGGTGATGTCAAAAAACTTCTCAAATCAGAGTTGAACCCACAATCACAAAATTGGTATTAAACAACCACTAGATCACTTGTTACACAATTATATTTCTTATCCAATCTAATACAAATGGGAATAAAGTTCAAAGGTAAAATGTACATGGATAATTTGAACAAAAGAAGAGCAGTTTGTAATTAATTACCCAGAGAGAGTCCAAAAAATTTGAAGCATTAGTATGGCATGTTTGAGAGACAAGATTTAAGGACATAAAAAAAGGTTAATCCATTCATGAATCAAACATGTAAACTATAAAATTGTACAACAAAAAGCCCTAATTTTTTTTTGGGTTATCAAGTGTTTTACTCTCTGACAACGAACTATGGAGATCCATATGAAGCATCTTCAAATGGATTTTGAGAATGGAGATCGAAGAAATATATCCACAATCAATTGGCTTTTTTTTTATTTTAAAGTATCGGAACAGTACACAAAGCAAGAAAAACGAGTGTGTCTCTGGAGAGAGAGAGAGAGAGAGTAGAAACCTCATTATACCGTGGTCTCGTCTCGTGATTTGATGTGGTAGAATGGTCGGTACTAGTGGTTTTCGCAGCGGAGGCAGAGTACTGATTTGGATGGGATTCAGAGAAGAGAAGACAGGATAAGAATGAGACCTGTCATTGGGACCTATGTGGAAAAACAAAAAGCAAATATATTAGGATGGATAATGTTATAGGGACCATATATATCTATATAAAAATGGAAGGGTGAGTTTAAAAATGCCTCTGAAATTAGTGGTTTAGATCTATTTAATTTAAAAAGTAATGACTCAGATTTATTTTTAAAAATATCTCTCTCACAAACTATTTTTAATGGTTTAGATTTGTCCAATTTAAAAACAACGGCCGAAATTGAAAAGAGTTTCAATAGTCTAGATTTATCAATGACTAAAATTCAATGGTTCAGATTTGTTTACCTATCTACTCTCACCAACCCACTGCACTCACCAGATAAGGCACTCTTTACATCATTTCTTTACATCATATGTATCAATGAACAAAGCTCTGTGAAAGCTTTGAAAAAGGAAGAAAGCTTTGAAAAAAGGAAGAACAAAGCTCAATCGAATGCTCTCTTCTCCACCATCACCAGGTAAGGCACTCTTCTCTCCTCACTTTCATTTTTTTTACCCCTGTTTATTTTTATTTTTTTTCTCATTATCTCGTCATCCCGTCATCGAAGCCTTGTTTTTTTTTTTTTTTTCATCATCGAAGAACAAAGCTCTGTTTTTTACCTCTGTTTTTTTTTTTTTTCCACAAATGTATCACTTGCTTTACAAACTGATGACGGGATGATAAATAAATGTATCAGTTTGTAAAGTGATACAAACTATTTTTGTATGTATCAGTTTGTAAATGTATCAAGAGAAAGAGATGAATCTATTTTGTCTCAGTTTGTAAAGCAAGTAATAAATGTACCACTTGCTTTACATTTAATTAGATCATGATCTATGTATCATGTCTCAGTTTGTTTTTCATCATCCCGTCATCATCCATTCAGTTTGTTTTTTTCTGAAGCAAAAAATAAATAAAAAAATTTGAAGCAAAAATTTTTGTCTTACATTCGGAGGGTTGAGATTATATTTATCAAACATCTATGGGTCAAGATGATTTGTTTGTTTTAGCTTTTCCCTCCAAAATGTGTCTCTTTACTTACTCTGTCTCTCTTTCCCATGTTAAGAGATAGATTCATCTCTTTCTCTTCTTACACACTCCACCAACTCTCCATTTTCCACTCTAGTTTTAGCCCAAATTTTTCTCTCAGTTTCGGTTCTGCAATCTCCAGCAACTCTTCATAGGTGACACTCCTATTCTTCTCTACTCTCACTCTTCTAACCTATGAAATGGGTTTCTATATCTGTAAATATTGAAATGGGTTAAAAATATGATGGATTTTGATTTCATTGAAGTGGGTTTCTGTTTCTGTATGTATTTTATTGAACCTTTCATTCACAATTGCAGAGTCATGAACAATAGTAGGTGTGTATTGGGTTAGATTGGGTACTGGATTAGATTGGATTAGGTTTTTTAAGATTGTTTAATCTCTTCGATTTGTGTTTTGTACTAAGATTATGAGACAACAAAATTTAACAATTCTATTAAATAATATGTTTAACGATCATATAAAACATACAGGAAAGTTTTTTTTTTTTAATATATTTAAAACTTCAGAGACATATGGTGTAACGATCATATACTGCATTTGATTACAGGAAAAAAATTTTTTTTTTTTGGACACCCTCGAAGATTTGATATTATATGTCGAAATTAGTAAAACTTTAAATAAGTGCTATTGTGCAATAAAAGCTCCCCAAACATGGCCTTAATGCGTTAGATGAGATTGATTACTTTATCAACTATAAAGAATGAACAAGAGAACTGTCACGACCCAAACCCGCCCCTATGGGTTTAGCATCGCAACCGGCCAGTAATCCGTGATTACCGAAGGCCTGCTTAACAGTAATGACAGTAATACAGAGTAAAGGGGCTGACGGAAGCCAAAACAGTAAATAAAAGATGTTCAATGAGCTGTAACAGTCTTAATGCAAAAAGACTTTTTATAAACATACCACATTGATAACCAAAACATATGTACATGCGACATATACACAACCATCCATGTCAGGGACCAAATCCCTAACTATAATTGTATAGTCAAGTCTTAAGCACTTATTACAAAACAGAGAAAGAAAGGTGGAACTGAGACACCCCAGAACAACCCTAGCTTGAACAGACATGGAACCTCAAAGTGAGGCACAAAGGTTGGCTTGACAAAACGAGAGCTTAACTTGACGCTCCTAGCATCGGTCCGGTGCCTGGACACCTACATATAAATATAAACAGTGAGCTAAAGCCCAGTGAATAACATATGCATAAAGGGTTAAGAATGAATGTCCTTTCAGTAATTAAAACAGTCAATTGTATCAGTAAAACAGTTACTCAATCAGTGGCTCATATTCCATGCCATAACAGTTATTTAGAAACCATAATAGTCATATGTGGTACATCCAATAACAAAACAGTACAGTAGGTCTTGACAGACCGGACAGTCAATTGATGGCCATCATAACAGTAAACAGTAGTGGTCCCAACATTGGAACCGACAGAGATCTCTGTAGCAGTAGCAGAAACAGTAACAGTAAGTTGCTATGGATGCCACGAGTACAGTTTACCAATAGGACAAACATTCATTCATTGAACAATAGCATTTCAGTAAGCAGTACAGTTGATCATTTAGAAAATAATCATAATCGAACATATCTTTACAGCATTGTTACTCACAGAGTACTGGGCTACAGGTAGCTAATGAGCGTCCTCGGATGCCAACCCTACAGTTGCAGAACGAACACACACTCGGGATTAATAACTTAGCTCCTAACTATACTTGTGTGGTTCTATAACATTATCCTCATTAAGATGCCTTAAACATGGCCTAGGAATGCCTAAAATGGAATGAGGATGCAAAAATGTACCCTTAAACACTTTTCAAAATTTTGCTGAAACAGGGGTCTCGCTCGAGCTTGGCTTTCTACGCTCGAGCGGACATGTAGATAAAGGAGCTCTGCTTGAGCGTGACTTCCCTCGCTCGAGCGGACTGTAAACTCATGAAAAAGTACTGGACGCACGATTTTCATGCTCGACGGACGCTCAACCTCCGCTCGAGCGTGAGACTCAGACCGTCGCTCGAGCGTGAATTCTCTCACTCAAGCGGACTGCAAAACATATGAACTTCTGGGCATATGCATTTCACGCTTGAGCGTGACTTCCTACGCTCGAGCGAAAGTGCATGTACTTAGAGTGTACGCTCAAACGTGAAGTCCTCCGCTTGAGCGTGGATCCAAAATCTGGAATTTCCAGATTGATCCTCAAGTACAAAATTCAACTTCTAAAGCTTCAAACTCAATTCTTTTGGGCTAATTTTCTGGAAAACACTTGAAGACTCATAGTACAACATGTTTCAAAGATCCATTTATGAAATCAAGCCCAATAGTAAGCCAATTGAACATAAAATTAAGTGTAAATACGAAGAATAATGCAAAATCATACATGCATGAGTTTCCAAGAGCTCTAGTGTTCCAAAACAAGATCAAATGCAATGTTGAGCTCAAAATCATGGTGAATTCATGGACCTCTACCAAAATATGAACATGTATGTAAGAGTTTTCATGAAAACAACCTCAAAATGCAAGAATATGTACATGCATGCATGAATTAGCTCACAATTCAACTCTTCAAATTAATTCTTGACTCTAAGCTCCAATATTTCCATGAACCATGCAAGAAACAACTTAAATTTACAATTGAGAGGATGAATTCTCTACCTTATGTCTTGAATTCTAGATATGGAAGCTCAAATACGCAAATTCCCCTCAATTCTTCTAAGTCTCCAAGCTAATTCTTGTTAAAATCATTTTTCTCCTACTCTCCCTCTCTTTCTCGGTTTTGGTCTCAAGAAGGTGAGCAAATGATGCATCAAACACATGTGAATCAAGATTAGGTGAATGGCCTAGAATAATCCACTTAGTGGCAAACATGTAATAAAGCCAAGCTAGTGTGATATAACATTATTTAATCTAATCTATTCATTCCAAATCGAATTTTAATTAAAGCTACCATAAAATCACATAAATCCTAATTGGCATATAACACTAATCGATTTCTGATTCGGTCGCCGATAAGACCTTCAATTTGCAGTTCGAAATTAAAACATGACCAGATTCATTCAGAAATCAAACAGATAGAAATGCATTCAAAACAATACACTCATACAATCGATTCAGGATATCATTCTTATCAGTTACTTATCATGCTTAAACACAGTTTAGCACTAATCAGAGGTGAGGGTTGTCGCAGTCTTCCCTCCTTAAAAGAGTTTGGTCCTCTAAACTCGGATTACCTTCACTTTGGAAGAATATTGGATTCAGGGGGAACAATTCCGGATATCTTTTCATCATATCGTCTTCTCTTTCCCAAGTGGCATAAATGCCACCATGGTTTTGCCAGTCCACTTTCACTAATGGAATTTCTTTGTTCCTCAACTTCTTGATCCGTCGGTTTACAATCTGAATAGGTCGTTCTTCATAAGTGCAGTCATCACTTAGCACTACACGAGTAGGCTCAATAACATGGAAGGGATCCCGAAGATAATCCCTCAACATTGAAATATGGAAGACATTATGCATATGATCCATTTTAGGAGGAAGCGCTACTTGATATGCCACCGAATTAACCTTTTCAATGATCTCATACGGTCCAACATATCTCGGTGCTAGCTTACCCTTGACTCTAAAGCGAGTCTGCCCTTTCATTGGTGTCACTTTAACAAAAACATGATCACCAACTTCATATTCCTTGTCTCGCCTTCGGACATCCGCATAACTTTTCTGTCGGCTTTGTGCGGTTTTTAATCTTTGTTGAATCATTTTCACCTTTTCTGTAGTTTTATGTACAATCTCGGGCCCAAGCAAAGGCCCATCTCCAACTTTTACCCAGCAAATAGGAGATCGGCATTTTCTGCCGTATAAAGCCTCGAAAGGCGCCATACCAATGCTTGAATGAAAACTGTTGTTGTAGGCGAATTCAGCTAAAGGTAAATGGCTTTCCCAATTTCGGTTTTTAATCTTTGTTGAATCATTTTCACCTTTTCTGTA